CGTGGGGCGCTTGGCTTGTTCAGCTTGGAGAAGAGAAGGCTGAGGGGTGACCTCATCACAGTCTACAACTTCCTCAAGAGGAGCAGCGGAGGGGGAGGTGCTGATCTCCTCTCTTTGGTGACCAGTGACAGGACATAAGGAAATGGAATGAAGCTGCGTCAGGGGAAGGTCAGACTGGGCATTAGGAAAAGGTTCTTCATGGGGAGGGTGGTCAGTCACTGGAACAGGCTCCCCAGGGAAGTGGTCATGGCACCAAGCCCGTCAGAGTTCAGGGAGCATCTGGATGACGCTCTTAGTCATATGGTTGAGTTTTAGGTAGTCCTGCAAGGAGCAGGGAGTTGGACTCGATGATCCTTACAAGTCCCTTCCAACTCGAGATACTCTATGATTCTATGATTCTAGTCTAAAAATAATGTAACTCCATTTAATGTAGCTGGGATTATTTTAAAACCAGAATTTGGCAGACAATTGATACCGATTGTTTAAAAACAGCCCAAAAATCTGTAGTGTTTGTTTACAGTTTTTCTCCTAGGTTTTATGTAGAGAGTTGGCTGAAGATATAGGACGTTCTCAATAAATCATCATGAGTTTCTATTCCCTCTACTTCGAGCAACATAGTAGGCAACAATTTTTAACAGTTCTGTTTGCTTAAAATATTTTTCATAAGCACTTATTTGTCATGTGATTCAAAAATGACCCTGACAGCCATGGCGGTTCCCTCCCTGCCCTTGTGCAACTGAAGTTAATCTTAATCCAAACATCAGAAGTACAGAGCTGTTATTAAACATACCACTAGTGCGGTGTTTTTAGTGCTACTTATAGCTTCCCGGTAACAGTTCTTGAATTTGCTTCTTTGCTCTTTTCTAGGTACCGTAGTGAGAAGATGACGATGAGCTACACAGAATACCTTGCCCATCGTCAGCATCATCACTTCCAAAATGGTATTGGGCACCCCCTTCCACCGTACAACCATTATTCCTGACACTGAGCCGCATGACCAGTCACTGGACCTCTCTGCAGACCTCTTCCCAGGAGACCCTGCCCCTTCTTGGTCTAGCTATCTCTATTACTGTACCATTTTATGATGATAGTTTCCGTTGCCATGTTGAGGCTTCTTAGTTGGTTAAGCTCATCATGGCAACGGGAGGGAAAACTGCATTACTACAAAGACCCCATACTTTTTTTATTATTGAGTCACTGCAGATTTTTTTGCAGCATATATAACCCTTGGGTTTTTTATGAAATTTTAAATTTCTACTTCATTAATGTTGAATTATATCAATCAAGGCTTTCTGTGACTGTGGATGGAAGGAAGAGTTTTAAGGATTACAGTTAGGGATGCTTTGCTTAGCAAAAAGGCATTCATGGCTTTTGCATTAATAGGTGTGACAGGGAATGAAACATATCAGATTCAGGTATTATACTAGACAATGAATTGCATTTTCATAACGTTCTTAATAATGTTGTGTGTACAATATCTCACCCCCGGAGTAAAGACTTCATGTAGCTATATACATGATCTTCAGATCCAGCACATACAGCCACAATGTCAAGGCTGACATACAAAATGCTTTTTTGGATGAAGAGAAGCAATTACATGTACGATGAGAGGTGATGTTAACGTGGCAGCGTTTTCAGAATCAAGTGGTCTTAATTGATAGGGCATGACATAGTTCAGTAGGCTACCAGATACCTTTGTCTCCCATTCTGTGCTGGGAATCGAGGGCAATCCAGCCCTGTCAAGACTAGTCATAATAATGCATTTGTAATGAGGCGATGCCTTTCTGATGATCTCAAATTAGGAGTAACATTTGTTTTTAAAAACAGGTTGGTGAGTAGCAGATGTCGTATTAGGAAGAAAATGGATTTAGATTTTAGTGCCTTTGACTATGACATAACTATATACTTATATATAAAATTCATAGAAGAACTATAGCAAATACGTCAGACATTCTAGCAAACTATATTGAGTCTGCTCTGGCGTCAGATTTTTGGGGATTTTTTTTAAAGTGAAAATTTTTTTTATAGAAACCTATTTTGGAAAAGAAAAATCCCTGTTTTGTTCTTTCTTCTGCTTTTGAACTTGCTGAGTTTTATCAAGTCATGAATAGTTAGATAAAGTTAACTATTGTTTAAAAAAGAAAAAAGACTGTTGTGAAAGAGCACAGGACAAGTATGCCATAATTTTACATGTTTTCATCTATTACAGGAATAGTACTTGAGAGCTGTAAGTACTGTGTAACAATTCTGATACCCCTCCACACGGTAGAAGGAAGAGAACCGATCGGAACTTTTTCCTGCAGTAAAAATAGGATTTAGTAAAAGGTATGTGTGGTATATTTGCAAGCCCAGGATATGGTAGGATCTAGCTCCTTGCTCATGTGCCTGCAGAACTCCCACTAATACCTGTCGTAGTTCAGTGCATATTCTAGGGGACAATACATGCCGTCTATTATAGAAAAGACCTTCCTAATATGAGTAAGTAAACCACAGTAAGCAGAAATTCCAGTTATTTTGAATAATGAATGTTTGTAAATATATAGATATATAAAATTCAAATAGATAAAATCAATTAAAATTCAGTCATTCAAAAAAAACCAGACTAATTGTAAAAATGTTTCAATAGGGTTTCAAAAACAGATACGGATAAATTACGCTCATCTCTTATGTGAGGTTAGCTTTGCCGCTTAATTTCTATGGAAGTTCTTGTAGAAGGTCTTTGGTATTCCTTCATCCACAGCATTTGATGTCCAAATATTAACATTTTCAGTTGTGATGCCTTAATTTATAAGCAGAGGGCCTGAAATTTCAGGAGCCAAGAGATGCCAGCCAGAAGCTGCAAAAATTAATAGATGTTTATACAGAGGCTATTTTGGATGATACTGTTGTCTTGTTTCTACTTGGGGAACACTTTTAAATGGCTTAGTCTTCAAGTGGAAATTGTGAACAAGTGGCTACCTGATAGAGTTGTGTTGGTTTTTTTCTTGCCCTTATAGGGAAACTGAGCACAAACTGAATCATTCTGCTGCAAAAAAAAAAAAAGTCATCCAACCCCATCTTTATCTGTCATCTCGTTACAGCATGCTCATGCTTCTGTATGAGCTCATTGTTAGAAGTTTTTTAAAAAGATCTATTATATATAAAAATATATATGTATTGAAAGGTGCTAATCAACCTCAAGCAGGTCACGTGACTGGTCATGCGGATCTAAAATCATATCAGATTTTTTAAAAAATCTTCGATATATGCAGATGTTATACAGAATTTCTTACCAGTGTAATAATGATATACTGATGAATAAACAATCCTGCAGGTTTTTAAGGACAAGGTCAGCAATACTTCCCACCATGGCTTGCGGGGGAAAAGGATAGTTTTGTCTCCTTTTTGTACACAGCATAATGCACAATGCATTTTTGTCTATCTCTTAGTAGCTGTTGCTTAAAAATATAGTTAAAAGGGTGTTATACAAACTGTAAAGGTGTGCTTTTGAAATGAGTTAATGCCAGACCCTTCTGGACCAGAGTTTTGTATCACTAATTAAAAAACTGTTACAGAGTCTGTGGTCAATCAGATTGTATGATATTTTTTTAAGAAGATTGGAATAATCAGTCTATCTACAGTGTTTCTAGGGCACCTACCTCCTCAGCACGCAAGTGCTGAAAACGCTATGGATTGTTTCTGTGTAACTGTGGGTTTATTTGTACAAAACGTGCAGCTCACTGTGACGTGCACTGGGACAGAATAGGTCTGTTTGCTTAAAGCTGATCAACAATTGCTTTCACAAATGTCATTCCCTCGGAGTTACGTTTAGTACCCTTTTAGATATATTGCTGGGTTTAGATACAGATTTTTTAAATTATTTTTTTCTTTTTTCAAATTTGGGGTACTTTATAAGAAGTTAAGGTACAACCAAGTAGCTTATTTCACTGTTTTCTAAGTTGGAGTGCTAGTTTTTTATGAGCACTACTCAGTTTGCCTTATTCATTAAAAAGAGACTGTTGGGTTTGGGTTTTTTTAATTCTTTTGCTTAATGTTCCTAAAAACCCTGTTCTGTGAACTGAGTTAGACAACAAAACCGTAGACTTGACGTGAAACTATTACTTAGTCACGCTTCAAGTGGCCTTCCTTCTGCCTACGCTGCTGTAGCACTGACTTTTCACCATCTCAACCCCAATGCTGATCATAGCAGGGGGAGGGCACACTAGCGTTCTGACCTCAGATGTACTATGAAATCAAGGCAGTCAAATCCATTTGCACACCCTGGCGTTTGTATACGGACCTCTTTACTTGTCTTCAAATGTGCGGGTTTTTAAAATTGTTGTCTGGAGTAGGTTACATCTCTTATGTGTGTTAGATCGAACCAAAGAAGCCTCCAGCCATGCCCAAATGCTGCTCCTAAAGCCTGCCTTCCAGTCCTTACAAAATCCCTGCAGGATTAAATGTGTTAACTTTTTTATTTTTGTACAGTTTCTAACTGATTTTTGCTAGTGATGTTAATTGAATTAAGTTTATTATTTGGGGAGTCTGAATATCTCCTCCATTTAAATAAACTGGTGACTTTCCTTTTATGTTTAAAAAAAAAAAAAAGGTTAAAAAAAAAAAAAAAGGTTAAAAAAAAAAAAAAGGTTAAAAAAAAAAAAAAGAGAGAAACCCAAAGTGTGCCTCTCAGATTTAAGGGTTTCTGGTTACATTTATTCTTAAGACCAGCAATGATTCTTTATATACAAAGATATGTTTTCCTCGTTTTTTATTACTGTTAAAGAAAAAATAAAAAAGAAAAACCTCTTTCTTTGCTCTGGACCCAGTAATTGCGCTGGTACATAAACGCACTGAGAAAACAAACTTTTGTTTGAAACTTTTGTAACAACTTATGACTGTTTTTGTATATCAAAGTTGATTCTTTTCAAGATATTTGGATCTAGTTTCTAAGTTATTTTAGTGTTTTATATGTTACAAAAAAAATTACTTTAAATTGTTCACCAGCATCTTGAGTTATCTTTAATGCAATGGTGACACACAAGGGGCTTGGAGCTACCTGGAGTAGCTTGTAAGGCCTCTGTCTTTTCCTTCCTTCCTTAGTAACTTGATTGATTACAATAATATCACAGATTACCTGAACCCCCTTCCTTTACAACTAGATCCTCCTTCCTTCCACATTTAATTGCTATTAGTGTGAAGAAACTGTTGAAATGGGCATTTTAATATAAGTACGGCTTAAAAAGAGAAAAATGAGGAAAAAACAAACAAAAAAAAATATATATAGAAGGTTATCTGTGGGTCTGTGAGATATGGCTGTGGAAAGATATTGTAGTAGTTTTAACACTATTGTTACTACCTTTTAAATCATTTACCCAATAAAATAAGGAAAAAGAATCACCATTTCTTTTTATGTTTCTCTGCTTAATTGTGCGGCTTGGTCAGTTTTCTTTTTATTTAAGCATTTGCAATGAGTGCTCATGTTAAAGGCTAATGATGCGTTAGGAATATTTTCATGTGATTAACTCTTGTCTTTCCATTTTGCCCACCGTAGGAACAGATTGTGGACAGGTGCATGCAGCTTTCAGTCTAATTCAGAAGTGAGTCACTAAACACTCCAAGTTAAATCAGCGTTTATATCGGTTACATCAGTATTTATATCAGTACATTTATCAGGATTTATGTAAGTTATCAGTTCAGTTTTGTACTTTTTATGTCTACCTTTAAACACAGCATTTTGTCCAGGCTTGGGCTCCTCAGTCTCTGAGAGGGAGAAGTGGTTTCAACCTTTTTAAGCAAAACTTAACCAATACGTTGCCTACACTATTTGTAGCAACATTGTTCAACAGAATAATGTGGCAAAATGTGTATCAAAGAGTATCTTGAAGTATCACCTAAAATAATTTCAACACACTTTCTTCGTATTACTCTTACAGTAGCAGGTGTGATTTTAAAGACTGACTAGGCTTGCTTTGCCATGAGGGGATGCCTTTGTCTTGCACGTCATGTCCAGCTAACGTGTAGACTGTCACGTTGACCAAATTTCATGGAAAAAAATTACAGTGTAGAATTTGCACTGACTTAGGGGGTTCCTGCAAAGCATGAAGGGCCAGGGAAGACTTGTTTTCCCCTTCCCCGAAAGCCTTTAGTCTTAACCCAGTGGGGCCATTTTTAAATTGTTTTACTTAAGCAGATCCAGTGAGAACAGCACACCGGAACCTTTAGTTCATTAAACCAGCTTTAACTGTCAGCACCGGTTTCCAGTGTCCCTGTAGCAACTCTGGCTTGGTCGCAGGGCTTCCTGGGGTGTTGGTCAGTGGGTGAGGAGGCCTCGGCAAACCTGTGTGTCGGTGTGGCTAGCTGTGCCGATACCAAAGAGGTGGTTTATGTGAGAAGGGAAGGAGTGCGTTCCTGTGAAGCAACAAAGCCACAATCCAGCTGCTGACAAAACAAAGTCCCCAGACAGGTAAAACTGGCTTGGAGAACTTTGTTCCCCGAGCCAAATTTTTAGTGCTCTGAGAGACATTTTCTACCGAGTCTGAGTTAAAGGGAGCGTATCTCCTCTGTAGGATAATGCCTGAGACAAAGCAAGAAATTTCTAACATCTCCCTGGAATTCGGATCTGATTTTAGAAGTGAGGTTTTTTTGCCTTTGACTAATTCAATATTAATAGATCTCCTGTCTGTAGATGCAAAGTCTTTGAAAACAAACCAATAAAATCCATGTAACCTTTAGATGCTGAAGATCGATGCCGCCTTTATTCCGCTTGCTTTGAAGCCTTGATTTAGAAGATAAAAAAATACCTCTGAAGGGAAAACCTGCCTGAGTAAATAGCTTCCATTGTTGTGTTAGTATCTCACAGATTTGGTATCATTAGTCTGAATTGGGTAAAACCTACCTAAAACTCACAGTCCATTGAGATGTATAGCTAGTTAAAACTGCCTACCAAAAGTTTCCCACCCTTCTTGCTACATTAGCCAGCTATGTAGTTACTGCACTATAAAAATCAAACTAGCAAAATAGTACCGCGTATAAGGATGTTTCAAAGGTGGAAACTAGCTTATTCTTACATACGTGTTGCTGTTTATTAAACAATGAAAGGCTGACTTACAATTAGAGTTATAGAGAGATGCAGAGGATAATTAGCAGTGCCTGAAAAAGGAAATTGCTTGCTTAATTCATCTCAGGTTTCCATAAAGCACTTTCTACTTAAGCTGTTGTTACCAGTCTTTACACTGTTCAAGAGAGATTAAGCTGGAGAATTGGTTCTGTTCCCCAGCTGCGTGAAAACTTAAAACTTCTACAGTACATATACAATAACACAGGTGGGCATATCCAGTGTGTTCTTTTTCCAGGAACAGTATTTGCCAGGAACCTTACACAATGAAGTACCTGCTTGTCTGGGAGGTACTGGGTCACAATGTTATTGCAGTCTATTTAAATGTATTTTTAATTACAGCCAGAAACATTTCTGAAGTGCATTACAACTACTTTGCCATCAGTTATGGTGTGAGATTGTCTGAGTACCTAAGTTTTGAGCTGAAAATGTCTGTACGTGTTCTGTGATCTTCTACTAAAGTGACATAGAACAGGAAATAAAAGACACTACCAAAGTTGTGGCAAGAACAGTGTTTTTTTTCATAATACTATAATACTGTTTCCTGAGCTCTTTACCTGAGAGACATGGAACATTTAAACAGTGATTAAAGGATTTATGCCCTACAGTGAGGTCTGCCAGCAAACTCAGGCTTGGCTTGTGTTGGTTGACAGAAAACAGGCACAGGTCATACTTAACTGCTTAAAACTTCCAGAAATCCCGGTAATCATTGTTCTCACTTACAGAAACTGCTACGTGCAAGGTAGACTACGTCTAGCAGTACAGACTGCTTAAGACAGGAGAATCCATATTCTTACCTGATCTGATGATTAGCTATCTAATATTAAAAAGTCCCTCTGTGACTCTAACTGTTAATATTACAAATTGAAGTGGAAAGTCAATTTCGGTTTTCTTATCTAGTTTTAACAAGTCTTAAGCAAGACAGACTCGGTGCCTGGCACAATTAGAATGATAACAGAACTGTACAGTAGCCATTAAAATGCGTTTATTTGTTTTAATTCAAAAGTTTAACAACTATTTGCCCAGTGATCTGGACTTAGGGCACAACAACAACAAAAAAAAATCAGACCAAAATACAAAACCAAGTACACAAATTACCCCTTATTTGTAAATGTTACCTCATAACCAAGTTTTAACACATTAAAAATTTTACAAAATTTATAACACTCTTACAGATTATTCAGAACTAACAGCATATGTGGCAGTTGAGCCTCTCCACATCCATCCTTGCCCTTGCCATACCATTCTGTGCCTGGATAACGCCACCCTTGAACTAGAGGGTTGGGTAACTGGAACCGCGAGTTTCCAAAGACTGCTTTGTGCTTCAGACCAGTGCCCGAGCAACTCCAGCTCCCTAGCACAGCTTGGCTGGTGGGAGTGGTGTGGATATGCTCACTGTTCTGCCTGCTGCGTCCTCTGCAGCATTGAGATAATGACTCAGTAAATGCAGAAAGAATTTTAAAAAAGTACAAAATTGACCCTGAAACAAAATCATTTAAAAAACCAGCTTGGCTTTGACTAAGTTACACTAAAAGCTGCAAGACAGATTTATAGCAATATCACTTCAAGTACGAGAGCACAAAAATCAACAGATTTGTTATGAGTCTTGTCACTGTAAAAATGAAAACACCTGTCTGCCTGTGGAAACCTTTCGCCTCCTAACAGAAGGGCTGACATATGCCCTCGTCCTGGTTTTTGGCCTTTTCAGAGCTTTGTTAACTATTAAGACCAATTTAATTCCTAAGAATACGCCTCTAGTGAAAAAATTGCAACAGCGAGAAAAACAGCACGTCTATATTTTCCAGTAGCTTTAGATGCATAGGAAGCAAATGCCTGTGGTTTAGATGCAAGACTCGGGACATAAAAGAAGTGAAGTACAGTAATTTAACGGTTGCAAATAGCCATTTCTTGAAAGGAAAATACACTTGGGCTTTACAAGATGATATCAAATGTATAGAAATACCAAAACCCTGATTGTGGCCAGACACAGATGGATAAATCTACAATGAGGTACTCTATAATCTTAAGGTATGCAAACAGGCTGACTTTTCATTTCTCCCAACTTCAGCAGGGCAGCACCTGCTTATAAGCAGCGTTCGTCAAGCCCTAAGAAGCTGAACCAAAACCAAGTATAGCTGTGTGTTCACGGACTGTGGTTTTTCATTGATTTATACAAGCATGGTCAAGAGCTGTTAATTTTCACACTTGAAAAGAAACGAGATGCAAATTCTTCTTTGGTGCTTAAACAGGAGGAAGTTAAGCAAATGGATACAGCTCAAACACAGCGTACGGTGTCTGAGGCCTTGAAAAGTAGCACTGCCTGTATCCTGGACAGCTAAAGCCTTGGCACAATAATCTCAATATTCACAGGCTGAATCGCCAGGTGTTACGGTGGGTGCAGAAATTTTACTAGCTCACTTTTTCTGCTTTGGAGGGCTACTTACTCTGAGGCTGCATAAACAAACCGATCAGCGAACACATTTATTGTAGTTACTAATGCTTCATTTATGTGTATATTTGGAGGCAAATTTAGACGGTCATTCACTGGCAGAAGGAGTAATCCATTTCACTGCTGCTTGTTTCTTTTGTTTGAAGTGCCTACAGTACTAAAAATTAGGAGAGTAGAGGGCTCTGTTTGGACACCTTAATACAGACCAACTTCTCTGTGCAGTCTAGGCATCGGCACTACACAAGAAGTTTTTTCTGGTATTGTGCCCGACTTGCTGGTGGACAGCAAATCGGTCCACTTCAGGGTGAGATTTTACAGTCAGCGTAAGCTACTGCTGCAAGGCATAGTCTGACTGGCTATATGGTCCCACCTCCTGCTCCGCCCCATAGCTATTACGAATGTTTTCGTACCTGTTAGTACTGTGACAAAAGATTTAGGAACATTTGACCAGGGAGGACCAGGACTGCCCTTTCGATTGTACACTGCACCGCTGCAATGTCAAATCTCATCACCAGGTACTGGCCAACAGCTTCAAGTTATCTTGACACAGCTTGTGTGCATAATAACCACAGGAGAGAATGCCAATTAGATTTCAAGAATAGCAGTATAGTTTTGCTCTTAGATTTCCAGCATAAGTAAGCATAAAAGCAACCAAAGAAATCATCCATATAGCATAACTGCCTATAAAATAAACCGTTCAGGGAAAAGAAAATCAGCCTCTGCCAGGGAAGAGAATAAATAACCCCTATGGAGATTTTAAGTATTCTGCTTTCCCATTCAACCCAATATGCTGCACACTGAACAAGCTCTGTGTGATGCATATTCCAGACAGGCACCAGAGACAGCTGAGGAATAAAGGCCGTGAAGTTCCATGACATTAGCTTCAGAAGTTCGTTCCCTTTCTGCTCCCATGCTGACCTGTTCTTCTGTGAAGCTTATGTCTCAGCTAGGCTGATACAGTGTCTTGCTGCCATACCATAAACCAAAATGAAACACTAAGTTTAAAAAGCCTTCAAAAAGGGGCAAGGGGAGGGAAGAATTTAACTTTTGGGCCCCCTCACTACAAGAAGGACATTGAGGTGTTTGTTAGAGCATGTCCAAAGAAGAGCAACAGAGCTGGTGAAGAGTCTAGAGCACAAGTCTGATGAGAAGCAGCTGAGGGAACAGGAGTTGTTTAGCCTGGAGAAGAGGAGGCTGAGGGGAGACCTCATCGCTCTCTACAACTACCTGGAAGGAGGTTGTAGCAAGGTGGGGGTCGGTCTCTTCTCCCAAGTAACTGGCGATAGGACAAGAGGAAACGGCCTCAAGTTGCGCCAGGGGAGGTTTAGATTGGACGTGAGGAAAAATTTCTTTACTGAAAGAGTGGTTAAACATTGGAACAGGCTGCCCAGGGAAGTGGTGGAGTCACCATGCCTGGAGGCATTTAAAAGCCGTGTAGATGTGGTGCTTAGGGACATGGTTTAGTGGTGGACTTGGCAGTGCTACATTAACGGTTGGACTCGATGATCTTAAAAGAGTCTTTTCCAACCTAAACGATTCTATTCTAAGCCAGCTTCACTGATACTGTACAAAAAGCAAAGAAGCGACAGCTTACCATCAAAAAGAGGTGAAGGTTCCACTTCCCTCCTGCCTGACTCCAGTCGCACCATTCAACTCCTTTACAGCGGCTCCAATACTTCTAAAATCTTTACTGAGTGTAGTAGTTGGTTTACCTCTATTTTTTTTGCTGAATTACCTTGTTCAGTTAGTCATTTTAGCAACTTAAATTGGTATAGAAGAGTTCAACAAGCTCCAGAACCTGCACGAGTAAGGTTTGGAAGGGGAATACTGAGTGTCCCGTTGGCTTTGATGAGCAGTTCTGTCAGCATGCTCCCATGTTGCGAAATTATGCCTGAAATTTCTAGTGCGACTCAAAACAACTGGACCAGCATAAGGGAGAAAAGCATGAGTCACAGCACAGTGACAGAACCAGACATCTACGATACGGGCTGGGAGGGAAGGCAGGCGCAATCCCTTACAGTGGCTCTGCTGTCGAAGTCAATGGTGCAAGTGGTACAACTACACCAAGAAACCTGTCATCCAAATTGCCCCAGGGATTTCCCTCGTGTTGGCT